ATCTATATATTTGTAGACTTTATAGTAGTCTTCAACCACATAGATGAAATTACATAGTTTTTCCTCAAATTTAAACAATACGATACCATGACTTCTTCATTTACTATCATTACTCTAAGTTTTTCTTTCCATTCGTTAAATTCGTCGAACACTTTTTCGAAATGGAAAATTGCTTCTTAAGCTTGTTCAAAAATAGTCTCAGGGACATAATTACTTTCTTGCATTTTTACCAAATTCTGATAAAACTGTTTATTAAATAATTGATAATAAACAACGTACCATATCAACCAATAGGTATAACAAAACCTACAACATTTCATTGAGTACTAGTAAGAAATATCAAGTCATGCGAATAATTTTTTATTAAATTCCAATCATTATGTCTCCACAAATATGATTGTGATGTGATTATGGATAAAACGACAGCTAAATACTTATAACTAAAATATTTTATCGTCTCTTACATATAAAATGTATGGTAAAGTTTAAATTTTTGAAGTTATTTCTATACGACTCACATCTGAACATCCTTCCTGCATTTCGAATAGCTCTCTTCTTGAAATGGGGAATATCGTCTAGGAAATAATAACCGTAAGGTTATGAAAAACAGCAAAGTATTCTCTACATGTCATAATAATTGGTTTTTCACAAAAAAAATATTTCGAAATGAAAATGTTCGTTGGGAAAAAGGTAAAAAAATTGCATAATTAGGGATATTTGAATAACTTGGCATAACTTTGCAAATAATGGATAAACCAAGGATATCGACTGTAACTTGTCAACCTCAAAGTGCCACAAGAAAAAACTATTAGTTTTAATTTTTGTTCTTAGTGCCCGGATTGTTTAAATTTGTCGTTTTCGCTGAAAATCAATGTAACAAGTAATTTTTCACTTTTTAAACATTTTCTTAAATTGAAAAATGTTTTTTTTAACAATGATCCATATTTTCTTCATCAAAAAACGTTAATTATTGTAAAAAAAGAACAAATTAACAAAAAAACAAAAAAAAAAAATTTTTTGGTTGTTTTCTTTGACCGCTGTAATTGCCGTAGATTTGATTGAAAAGTTGGTATAGCCACCAATGGGTTGCTGTATTTCAATCCACAAATCTCGAATTTTTACTGATTTTTACTACTACGCCAAGAAAATATGCAATTTAATTATTTTTAAAGCGATGCCACAATTTTATTTACTCGTAAAAGTTATTTTGCAATCTTTACGCTTTGTGGCCGTTAGCCGAAAATGAATTGCTTGAGTTATGATCGATCGACCTACACGCTGTACGGTATACGTTAGGCGAATAACTTCTCTAATCTCGTTGGCCAACAAGAAATATTTCTCATCATCCATAACAAATTAATTTGTTCTCTATAAAGCCCAGTAATATTAGACTTAGAAACAGATCCAATATATCTTGTCCCCGTTTACTTGGTAAAATTGACGTTTTAAGTCTAATGTTGTATTCTGTAAACAGAGAAATTGTACAAAAATTGTGACATACTATATTATTTGTATAGGATGTGTTTATTTATTTACTTATTTATTTATTTAATAAATGTGACGTTGCAAACAGGCTAAAAGGCCAAGACTGCCTCCACAATGCACTAACAAACATTGTAAATCAACAGTGAGGAATTAAATTAATCAACAGTAACAGTTAACAATTAAATTATTGGAAAATATTAAAACTATAGATAGGTACAAATAAACATTAAGGATATCAAAAATAAATAAAGTTACAAATATAATCTCAACACATCGTGTCTAACGATATTAAAGTAGATACGATGTCTGCTCAGGAAATAACCGAACTTTATTTTTTTAAACTTTACTATTAATTTTCTATATTATTGGTTCTTGTCTCCTTCTTCCCTTTCCCTACACACACACTTTTCCTAGTGGTGTTTCCATTTTGCAAAGTAGTCCTGGAAGTTTCATTTGAAATGACTTTCAAAGTCTGTCACGAATTTTTTGGCTAGTCCAGGTCTGGCTGGTAAGGAGGGTGAGGGAAGACAGCAATCTAACATGACCCAATTGAGATGCTAACCTCTTCTGCAATCGGCGATTTGCACGAACCAGATATTTGACTTTCTGAACGTGTAAGTCATCAGTTCAAGGAAGGTCTAGGATCATCTTCAATTGACTGACGACCACTCTGTTCGTGAGCACTATTCGTAACATTGCGTACGCATAATCTCCCCTTATAAACATTTTGGATTGTAGTATTTTTGTCACTCAGTTATCGAGAAACATATAGGACCCAACTGTATTAGCTAATTCTTAAATATCAATTCTAGTATCAGGCAAAATTAAAAAATAAAATAATACGTTATATTTTGTTACCTCTCTGTTTGCTTTCACAAAATTCTAATCAAAATGACAAAGTCGAATGTAACATTTCGTTTTGTTTAATTCTATAAATACATAAGTTATCGTACAATATTTATTCTGTTGTTATCTGGTAGTTGAGAATATTGAGCCAAAAACTTATCATTAGTTACAGGTCTTAGACAATTGTCTATTTTCTAAAATTACTTATTTACTTAATACATCTATAAATAAATAAAAATAAAATGGTGTTAACTAATAAAATAATTAATTATGCGGAAACCTCTAGGAATACAAAAAATGTATAAGGATATATAAGGATGTGTAAGGGTTACGGATATTTTCTCCATTACTGCATATTCAATTACTTCAGTTACTAGGTATGTCAAAATATAACATCTACACATAAGTATAATAACATCAAATTTCATTCAAATTGGAGATAGCATTTTAGAGAGACTAAATGTTTTGCAACTTTAATACCACTCATAGTGGGAAATATGGGAAAAAATCCTACACACTCGGCTATTTTAACCGTACAGTGGTAAATTGTTTTTTATTTTTCTTCAAATATGCTTAATCTTATCATCCTTGTGCGATAATTTGATATATCTGTAAAGGAATTTTTTAAATCGAGTGAAAAGCCATCAACTTCAACACCAAAGATAATAATTCGGTATTTAAAAATTAAAAAATCAAAAGTTTCGTATCTGAGGTTAATTAAACAACGAAAATAATCAGCTTCACAATACTTTTCAACCTTAAACCGGAACCCAAAAACATAACCTCAAATTCATCAAACCTAACCTTAAAGTAATACACTGACTCTTTTCTAAATCTAAGGATATAATTACTTGAAAGCTATATTTCATAACTCCCTAACCTAACCTCAACCTCTTCAAAACCTAACCTTAAACCTTCAAAACTCATCTTCAAATTCTAAAAACTTCATTGCATAGAATGTATATGTTCCACACCAAAGATTAATATATTTTCTGGAACTTATATTTTTTATTTTTGAAGCCCCTAACCTTTATTCTTAAATACCTAACCTCAAATCCAAGTAATCTGAGCTAGAAACTCAAACAAAAGATATTTTCCAGTAATGTTATACGCACTATTTTAAGTGTAACAATTTGTACATTACCGCAAGGCGTGCGATAACAGGCAAATACTGTAAAAAACGAAATAATTTTTTTTAATCGAAGAAAATGGACGAAAATAAAATATTTTAAAACGTATTGATATTGGTTCACGTCTATACGTCTATTTTAGTTGAAACGTCAAAATTTGTGGGTAACATACTTTGATTTGTCCGCAAGTGAGCTTATAAACTAATTAGTAAGGATTAGACAAGTAGGGATGATTTTATTATCGTTAATGACAGAGATCATTATTACAGACCAATCAAAATGCTACAGTGGCGTAAAGTTTTTAAAGGGTCGTTTATAAAACTCAAATAAATTTTTGAAAAATAAACGGTTGTAGATAAAATATTGTGCATAATACCTACGCAAACTGGGTTTTTATCGCACTTATTCTGCAATATACCATATTTAGAGTCCCTTACATACATGCTTTGTATCGGGGCATTCACAAATCACCCCGTATAAATACTTTTCACCGCTGCCGCCGTTAGCTTTTTCATACGGAATGAATTATTACTGGAAATAGCGGGATCTGGCCTTAGCGTGACGTTTCAATTATTACCGCACCGGAGATGGGAGAGTTAAATATAAAGAATATGTGAGCTGAGCCGGCAAATAAAAAACAAAGGTTAAAGATGAATTTCCTCGTGTGGGTGTGATATTCATCGAAAAGACACGCTATAAAATATCTTGTTAGCTTCTTAACATTTTCACTGAAGATGTGGAATATTAATTTATTAAAAAGTTATACCAAATTGAATTGAATGTTAAAATTATCAGTAAATAGATTGAAATTTGTAATATTATTTGTTATTGGTTTGATATTAAATGTACGATCAGAGCAAATATGATTTAAATATGTCGTTAAAAATATACCAAAAAAAAACAAATTAATTATACTTGGTTTCCGGAAAATATAAGCAAAAATGTAGGTAGTGATTCTATTTAAAAAAAAAATAATGATACAAATTGCATTTCATTATTATTACATTACATACATTACATTACATACAATACGTTACATACATTACATTACATACATTACATTACATATATGTATCACATACGTTACATTATATTACATTACACATTATTCTTATTATTATTAATTTTGTGTTTTTTCAACTACATCCGCCGATGACACATTTGTCTAAACACACATTGATTCTGCGAAAGTATATATTCTACCAACAAAGGGCCAATTGAAATAATGCAGGAATATAATAATTATAGAATAGATATAAGAAACACTCGAACAACGCTCTGAAAATAGGAAGTTGTAAGATCACTTAGATAAAGATATGCACAAAGATTAGTGATGGAGATATTTAAATGAGATAAAACATTTTAGTGCTATACTAGACTTTTTTATAAAATCTGATGCTCTCTAGCAACTAAGTGAATCAACTGTGGATATAGGTAACTTTAATTAAATCGCCTTATTTTTACCTCATAAAAATCTGTGGTTGTCCCTTGTACACATAATATTGAGCACCTGTTAAACATATGTTTCATTTGTTGCAGAACGTGTAAATGACGTAGATGGAGTAGAGCCCGTACCTTGTCAACCGTGGACATCAAGGCTGTCAAAAATGGCACAACCAAATTTAGATTATACAGGTAAATAATAATATATAATATTTTTGTTAATATCCTAATAATTTTTTTAAAGAACGTACAGTTTTAACAAAAAATATACTTTCTGGTAATTTTAACAGTTACTTGGTAATGAAAATTTAATGAAATTCAGATATTCCTTTATAAGTTATGGGTGTTATTTTATATTTTTCGATACCTTTTTTTTATTGACTAATATACCATAATCTCTGTTCTTATTTAAAAAATTATAATGATTACAAGGACTTCTCTGACGTTATGAATAGAAATGCCAAGATACACAATTACAAAAATGATGTATCTCGGGACTTTTATATCTGTTTAGCTTAGAATATACATAAGTACATATATGTTACACATTACAGTAAGGGGGGTCTCAAATTAATCAGATATTTTTTAATTAGAAAAAAGAATATTTAATGTGTTTTCTAGGAAAGTTTTATAATTTGTAAATGTCTTACATTTGTGGTAAAATAAGTATTTACTATTTAAAAAACGAACAAAATAGATGTTTCCAATATCTAGAGTTACTATCTACTATTATCTGTTGCTTGACGTAGATTAGATATTAGTAAAAATCGGTCAAAAATAATATATACAATGAAAATATAACGTTGCGCCAAGAAAAAAAATTGTGCTATTTGCAGAAAAAATGTTCAAAAATTACGTGTTTTTCAAACACTTTACAACATAACTTCTTAGATGAAATTTGCTACAAGATAGAATTGTTTTGATAGTTTTGGTATGAGACAATTTGTTACTAAATTTCAGCACGAAATGTCGTTATTTTTTTACGTGAGTGCTGGGGTTAAAGTTAGGCATTTTAATTGGCGCTGATTTTTTAACTCATACTTGGACCCCTTAACAATCATATAGAATCGTTAGAATATCAATTTTCTTTTTTTGAATAATTTTTGGAGCGAATTTAAAAGTTAGAAAAATTTTGACTTTATAAACAAATACTTTCGTGAAGCGGTTTTGCGGGTTGGAAAGTATACCAAAGTACTAAAAAATAGTTCTCGGAAAGACGCTTAACTTTAAAAAAAGAACGTTCAAATCGGTCATATAAGTTCTGAAATATCGAGTGTCAAAGTTTACAAGCGTTAGCTGCAAAACTATGCATAATGTAACAATATGAATTTGGTAGGTTTTTTAAGAACTTTTCGTATGTGCTTTTATAAATATTATCGCACGTGTGCTTTTTATATGAAAATTCAATGAATATCGCCAAATCGACCATTTGAGCCGCAAAACCGGGGGGAGGGGTTGAATGATAGAAATTGAAATCGCGCGTTCAAAAAGAGCGTGCCCTCTTCGGCCTTCAATATCTCGGCTTCTACGGCTCCGATTTTAATGATTTTTTTTAAATCAATATAGCAAAATGAGAGGAATTCAATTATCAAGATTTCATTAAAATGTTATAAAGACTTATCAGCCTATTACGACTACTAAAATTTCACACTTTTCATTGTTGCTGTAGTATATTCATGTAAATAATAATATCGATGGTAGATATACATAGTCCATTATTAATAGGTATTAGTTTTAATAATTACGTGGTAATAATGTTTAAATAAAATCTTGAAATTTTTATTTAATATGTAATTTATTTATTGTATCCATAGAATATAGAAAAATATATAGATACGCGCGATTTCAATTTCTATCATTGGTCCCCTCCACCGGTTTTGCGGCTCAAATGGTCGGCTTGGCGATATTCATTGAATTTTCATATAAAAAGCACACGTGCGATAATATTTATAAAAGCACATACGAAAAGTTCTTAAAAATCCTACCAAATTCATATTTTGTTGTTGTTACATTATGCATAGTTTTGCAGCTAACGCTTGTTAACTTTGACACTCGATATTTCGGAACTTATACGACCGATTTAGACATAATTTTTTTCAGGTTAAGCGTCTTTCCGAGAACTGTTTTTTAGTACTTTGGTATACTTACCAACCCGCAAAACCGCTTCACGAAAGTATTTGTTCATAAAGTCAAAATTTTTCTAACTTTTAAATTCGCTCCAAAAATTATTCAGAAAAAGAAAATTGATATTATAACGATTCTATATGATTGTTAAGGGGTCCAAGTACGTGTAAAAAAATCAGCGCCAATTAAAATGCCTATCTTTAACCCCATCACTCACCTAAAAAAAATAACATTTCGCGCTGAAAATTAATAACAAATTGTCTCATGTCAAAACTATCAGACCGATTTGGATCGGGTTTTGGGATTTCGTTTTGTAATCCTTTAAAGTACTTACAGCTACATTTGTAGTAGAAAGGGACAATTTCTTGCCTGTCAGTTTGACGCTTCCAAATTACCTCGATTTTCTTCACTTTCTTACGTTGTTTTGGCTATTTAGCGTCAAAAATATGACATATGCAGATATCAAAACAATTCAATCTTGTAGCAAATTTCATAACAAACAATTTCAACAGTAATAGATTTTTCTGTAAACTGCATATTTAAGAAGTTATGTTGTAAAGTGTTAGAAAAAACACGTAATTTTTGAGCATTTTTGCAGTTATTAATTTTTTTTGCACATAGCACAATTGCAATGGCGCAACCTTATATTTTCATTGTATATATTATTTTCGACCGATTTTTACTAATATCCAAACTACGTCAAGCAACAGCCATGTCAATGTGTAAATTCTCCTGGACTATACAGGAGATGATTAAAATTGTGTTTTAAATATTCTAAAGCGGTACTCTACATAATTAATTCTTAAGGGAGGTGTCATATTTCCGCAAAAGGCTCTGCTTTAACAACGTTTTTACTTTAAAATGGATATAACAGCAACCGGCCCTAAAATACTTTACGTCAATTCTCTTTACGTTCCGCCCGCTACCCAAGAAGGGCACAATAAAAGATATATAGCAGAATTTATTTTTAACTTGCCTAGATAAAATCCATTTACGTGCGCCTCACAGCACTTTATTTTAAATATAAACTTTGTAAATTTATTTTTAGTATACTGTCTGAAAAAATAGAATAGTTTCAATAAATAAAATTCCATATGAAAAATTATATATAAAAAGTTATAATATTGCAAGTGAGTAAAATAAGTTACTATCGGGTGTTCCAAAATTCATGCAATATTTGAATTTTGCGCCATTTGTCCGGTAAAGTGTTGCCAATGAAAAAAAAAAGATAGCGTTACAGTTGACACGAAAGAACAACGCGTTTTCATATTTAAATAAGATAATTTTAAAAGTAATGAAGGTTTGGCAGCTGCAGTTCACAATTTTCGTACAAAATATGGTATAGTTTCATCAACTGCGAAGATTAATTGGACAATTCAAGCTGACTGTATCAATTAGTGATCTTAAACACTCTGGCCGTCCTTCAACAAGTCTTCAACACAAAACATCGAAGCAGTTCGTGAGAGTGTTGCTGAGAGTCCAGGAACATCGATTTCAAGAACTTCTCCTCACAAGCGTCAAATGACTCAAGAGCTGACGCTACTGAACACCCAGAGTGAAGAGAGTTGATTGAATGGATTATGGAATAAGCGGATGCGGATTTCTCGAACAAAATATACTTATAGTTGGTTGCAGCGGACAAGCAATAACTCCAGTTATTTATAGTTCACAGTCAAGAGGATTATAGAAGAGATAATAGTTATTTATTCTATAAGTGTTTTAAGCAGCAATTTATCCACGCAAAAATTAACATTCTTGCGTGGATAAAAACGTGAGAACGTAGTTCAAGCGTTTATTATTCTTAAGTGGATAAAAGGCAATTAAAACACGAATTTAAAAATTAGTGACGTACAGGACGTTGGCAGTTACCTCCTTGTTTCAATACCTGACACCAAGAGGGGCATTTCAAGAAAATTTACAATTATAGAAAAAGGATTTTGCGTGGATGCTGTTAAAATATGCAGAAAATATATTTCTCTGCGCCCAATTCGCCTAACATAACACATATTCTTTTTAAGATACATCAATCAAAAATGTACTTCTCAGCCATTTGGAATCAACACATTGACGAAGGTACCCTCAATAGTTGCTCATTCCTGAATATCGCAAATCCAGAAGCATATACTGGCCATTGTATGAGGCGCACTTCAACAACTTTATTGATCAATAATTGTATTGATTATATTAACCAAATTGTCAACGCAAATGGAACGTTGTGGGGATATTTCAAATAATGTTTGCTTAATTTTTTTGAAAGTTTCTTTTCCATTCTGTATTAATAGTTTGAGTCAGAACATATCCGTGAATAAAGCGTTACAGCGAGCTGCAAAAGAAGCGTAAAAGTTTCAAATGGGATGGAAACTTCCTGATCTCTGCTATTTTATGTAAAACTTTCTGGCTTTTAAGTTACCGATTGCTGGTGTTGATATCAGGACCCCAACAAAGTTTCACCGGTAACACATTTGCTGGAGCTTACAGGATTATAACTTCCTGAGGTCAGATATTTTTAATTCATGAGAGAGATTAGGCACTGAGCGGCATAAAACAAATAGATATCAGTATTCTCGTCCTAAAGAATCTGTGTTTCCCATAAAACTCTCAGCAATTTATTTCGATAACTAAGTGATATATACCTTCTCTTATAATATATGCGCAACTTTTGGTAATATCGAAAGAGTTAAGTTTGGTCCAAAAATTTGGCACTGATTTGCTCTAAACATTTTTTTCACATCTTCTATTTCAAGTAAAGGTCAATAAACAAAAGTCTTTTATTATTGGCGTATATTTAGGGTATTTTAGAAATAATGTTTTGTATTTCTGCAGAAATGATATTTAAACAAATAAAAAAGTTTTAATGATTTTAGTAGCAAATATGGTTTAGTTTCGATGTGATGATCATACGATTATGTTATGAAATTAGGTACTAATACGAATTAAAAACGATCTAGTAGGTAAAAAGCAGGTTTTGTTTTGCATAAACAGTTTTGACAGTTGTCTACTCAGTCTAATTGTCACGTATTTAAGTCATTAACATTAACAATATTATTTAAAAAACATGGTCCAATATA